CAAACGCGCTACGTAATTTGATTCCAGACATAAGTACATCTGCTTGTTTTGACTCTGATGCCTAACATGAGTATTTAGAAATTTTTCTGCAGGGAAATCTTATAATATCATTGGCTGAAACAAGAAGAATGTAAATCATCAGGAAAAAGAAATTCTTTAATTGCTTTAAAACTTTTTTTTTTTACTGTTTATTTATTTTTGAGAGACAGAGAGAGAGAGAGAGAGAGAGAGAATGGGAGAGGGGCAGAAAGAGAGGGAGACACAGAATCCGAAGCAGGCTCCAGGCTCTGAGCTGTCAGCACAGAGCCCGATGCGGGGCTCGAACTCACCAACTGTGAGATCATGACCTGAGCCGAAGGCTGACATTTAACCGACTGAGTCACCCAGGCGCCCCTAATTGCTTTAAAATTAACTTAGCCAGAAAGAATTTCACTAGACAGAAATCAAATTATTGCTAATTGTCCCATACCAGTATTTGCAACGTCGTGTAAAGATCTGAAAACTCAAATAAGAAATTAATGGCAAGTCTCGTCAGAGACTTCAACTTCAACCTGAGACCTCAACTTCAAATATTCTGCCCTAAAACAGAAACGTTATGTTTCACTGAAACTCTGCTTAGTGACACAAAAACACAGGCCTAACATTCTTCCCCATTGCTTTCGCTGAATTTAAGCTTCTCCATGAGGTAAAAGCACATGACTGGTTCAACAGACGACTTTGAGTTGCCTTAATGCCTTTGGAATTCTAGCCATTAATCTAAGCTTAGTACAAGTAAGCACATAATTTAATAACATGTGAACCAATTGGACAATGAATACGTTCAGTGTCATTTGCCACAAATGATCACTAAAGACATTAATATTCATTAATAAGTCTTCTGACAAAATTAAGATGCTCCTGAAACTTTTTTTCTTCTCCTCAATTTGACCTTAATTCCTGGTCCTTGTCATTTAGATTTCTGGTAACTTCTTTTATAAATGATGTTGATAAGTCTTGAAAGGACAAAATAGGAAGTAGGGATCTGTTCCTTTTCCCCAAGAGGTGATTTTCACATCCGGTTTGAATGTATCTCACACACCAACGGTGATTCCTGACAAGTCTTCTTATGCTGCCAACGTGTGTCTATTGCATATGTGTTTTAAAATTCATTTCTGAACTATGCTGTGAATAACTTTGCCGGATTATGGCATGCTAACCAGTCCACAGTGTTCAGTGAAAGAGGAAAGGCGTAAGTACATTTTTCTTTTTACACTTTGCACCAGCCTCCCACATTAGAACACATGAGAAAGCTAAGAAATGATGTCAGCGTATGTGGTACAATATACTACCTGTCATCTACTTCCAGGTTTTTACAAATAGTAGACACTGCCATTTCAGCTTTTCGCCTCTCTTCAGTGTTTAAAATTCTTGCTCCACAGGACTCCTCGTAGAACTGATTGGATATTTAGTAATAATAAAGACACGGCATACAATGCATTCTAGGCTACGAAGTTAGTTATGAATATGGTTTTAATTTCAGTATTTTTCATCTACTTTAAGATTTCTTTTATTCATTTACTTATTACACTATTTTTTTTTTTTAATTTTTAACGTTTATTTATTTTTGGGACAGAGAGAAACAGGGCATGAACGGGGGGAGGGGCAGAGAGAGGGAGACGCAGAATCAGAAACAGGCTCCAGGCTCTGAGCTGTCAGCACAGAGCCCGACCGAGGGCTCGAACTCACAGACCGCGAGATCATGACCTGAGCCGAAGTCGGATGCTCAACAGACTGAGGCACCCAGGTGCCCCATACTACTATTGATTGACAGTCTGCATTCTGCTGGCTATTTTTATTTGAGTTTTTCGCCCCAACAATATCTCTTTATTACATATGACTTACAGATGAGGGACTGAGACTCAGAGAAATGAAGGCCCTTGTTTACCAAGGCAAAGCTGGTATATTTTATGACTCAAAATACAGCACTTTTTCCATTCTCCGGTTTTCTTTTTTTAGAATGGGAGCAGTACTTGCAAAGCACAGTTAGTCTTGGAAACAAACTAAGTTGAGTTCAAAACCTGAAACTGAAAATTACATGAATTTTAAAGAATTTTTAATCTCCATAAACTTCTGTGTCTTCATCTGCAACACAGGCATAAAAGTAATATTTTAATAATATTTTTGAAGAAGGGTATATAGTGTATGTATAACATTTAGGAAATTATAGATGTTCATTAATATAACTAATAAAAATACTGGAGGTAGGTTGTATTTTTTCTTTTAGTGGGAATACTGATGAATATTTAGACTAGGAGTAAGTAAGTCAGATGTCTAGCCCAACTTCACTGAAAACAAACAAACAAACAAACAAAAAATGGCTAGGGATGCCTGGCCTGGCTGGCTTAGTCGACTGAATGTCCGACTCCTGATTTCGGCTCAGGTCATGATCCCAGAGTCCTGGGATCAAGCCCCACATCTGACTCCGATTCTCTCTCTCTCCCTCTCACCCTATCCCCTACTCGTACACTCTCTCTCTAAAATAATTTTTTTAATGCTTATATATTTTAGAGAGAGAGAGTGACAGAGAGACAGAGAGACAGAGCATGAGTGGGGGAGGGGCAGAGAGAGAGGGAGACACAGAATCTGAAACAAGCTCTAGGCTCTGAGCTGTCAGCACAGAGCTCAACAGGGGGCTGGAACTCACGGACAGTGAGATCATGACCTGAGCTGAAGTCGGACGCCTAACTGACTGAGCCACCCAGGCACCCCAGAAAAAAAAAAAAAAAAAAATTTAATGGCTATGTGATTCTCTAATGATTTCTCAGGTCAGTATTGAGAAAGAAAGACAAAACCTTGCCTTACGATGAGTGAGAGAAACAATAAGTGAAAAATTAATATGGAACAAAAATTATAGTCAGTGTTTAGTACTTTAAAGACTAAATCTTAAAAAGGAAGTAATAAATGATGGGGTTAGGAGCTGACAGGTGGGATCATCAGGCAAGACCACTCTGAAGAAATAACATTGGAATAGAAACCTGAATGAAGTGAAATGGAAAGTTGCACAAAGACTTGGGGACAAGGCCAATGGGGTAATAAGTTGGCCATTGAACAAAGGAGTAATGAGGAGGATGCTAGCACGTTGTAAGAGATAGGAGGGGCCTGATCATATAGTCTCCAGTAAGCATTTGGATTTTATTCTATGTGTATTTGGAAGACATTGAAGGGTTTTGTTGAGAGCAGTGGTGATTGGGTATCAGTAGTAAAAGTTCTTTCACACTGCTAAGTGGAGAATAAAATCTTCCCTGGAGAATACATTCCTGTGTGGTGAAGCATGGAAGGTGAAGAGATAAATGAGGTCATGGCCACAGGGCAGGTGTGAGCTAAGGACGGCTTCCAATTAGACCCTGTCGGTCCAATTGATGAGCGCAGTCTCTGTGAAACAAAGAAGAAAAAACAATGACTTTGGCGTGTTGGTTTTTTCCTAAGCAATGGGCTGAACAGTGATTCCTTTTACTGAGATGTGAAAGACAGAGGAACACATTTTATAAATGTCTGATGAATCTCCTAGGCGTCTAAATGGACTTAGCGAGTAGGCAGTTAGATATAGAAGTCAGGACCTCTGGGGAGACAGTGTTATTAGAGCTACTGACTTGAGATTCTCTAGCCCATAGATGAATTCCACGTGGTAGGATGAGATCACCCTTAGCAGTGATCTCCAGGGTGGGATTCTCACAGTCTCCTAAGGGGTCCAGAAAGAAAATATCAGAACATCATTTTACATTTATTCTTATATTTAATTAATATTAGGTGATTTGATACAGATGCCCCCACATTGTGCCTACCAGTCAGTTATGTATCACACTGCACTCAGGGTACCCTGAGGTAACTGTAAAAATTATATAACAAAGAGGTGTAATGGGCAAAGCCTCATTTTTTTTTCTTTCAACGTAATATAACACACTGTGGTATACTTATATCTGCACACATGAATATATATATGAATATGGATGAATAACTTATGATATATGAATATGGATGAATAATTTAAAACTGTTTTAAAGAGTTTTTTAAAATACATATTTTATTTTGTAATAATTTTAGATATACAGAAAAGTTACACAGATGTTAACATCCATGCCTTTAGTACCTTTGTCAAAATGAAGAAACCCACCAATGTTACATTAATACTACCTTTATTCCAGAGAGAAAAATGATAATCTACTTTGATCCAGTAAGAGGTCGGACTAAAAAAAGCAAAATGACCAAAAAGACTATCTAAATATCATTTTATATGCGTTATTTTCCACAATTAAATTTGCCCTGAATGGATATGAAACCTTGAGATATCGATTAATGATTAATTAACACTATGGCGACATTTTAAAATTTAAAATTAGTGTGCCATTGGCACAAGGAAAGAAGAAGCCATTCAGCGGTCATCTTCTAAACAACAGAAGTAGTAGTGAGCCTGTGATGCTTGGCCACGTAGATGACACTACCCCAGTGGAGGTAAAGGAACTGGAGTACCCAACTCTCAACACCAGCGGGCGCCATGAAGGCCAATGCCATGTAACTCGGGGAAGTTGTATCTGATGGCTTTTCTACTTCAGTTATCCCCTATAGAAATTGTAAGAATGGCAACATCTGTTTTCAAGACCAAACACAACTCAAAGCTACCATCAGATACAAGTACTTGTCTAGCCCTTGTATCACTAAGAAAATGTAAGTAATCTCATTCATCTTCTAAAGATATGTCAAAGGAAAAAAAAAAAAAAGCACCTAAATCTCTACAAGGCAAACAAAAGCTCTCTAGTTTCTCTGACTTGTGTTCCAAATTAGTGCTTCTGACCTTTTCTTAAAACTTTAAGCATCACAAGGAAATCAGTGGGAAGGGAATCATGTGCTAACAAAGTACTTAAAGGGCAGAAAAACGCACTGAAGTGAAAGGGGATTAGTAAAGGGTGGGGAAGAGGACCAGCCCCTCCCAGTTTGGGTGAGCAGATTTGGGATTAGTTATCAAGCAGAAACTCACATGCAATTAACAGCTCTGACATCAGGGGACAAGCAAATATAAAACACTCAGCTCTGAGAGGGGTTCATCAGAGAACCCGCTCAGGAGTTTAAGGTACTGGAGGGAAGCTCTATGGGGAGCAGGTGGATGCCCGCCAAAACTCCATTAGGATGGGAGATTTTAAGTCACGGAAATTAACTAGCAGGAAATCTGCTTCCAATTCTTTCAGCTTCATGGCTAAATGTAATTAATGGCGATGACCTGCTAACGAATGCTTTGGATAAGAGACATCTATGATAAGTATTTTTTTTTCATAAATAGAAATTTAAAATAAAGAAAACTAAATGCTAGGGCAGGGGATTTAATTATGTAGTTATTATCCATGTCAAGTTTTTCCAGGTAAATTACTATTTTTACTATTTGCGAGAAATGTCATTTCACAGATATGAAAAGCATTTTGCGGGCGGCTGGGGAGGGCTCCTGCCTGTTTATAGCAGCACAAAAAGAAAACTTGCACTAATGCCATTTTGCTTTCTCCGTTTCAGCCTGATTTTTATGTGTTTCAGTCTCTACACAAAGGGCTGCAAACCAGAGATCTGTTCTTCACTCTTGCTTCGAGCAGAATGAAAGCCCATAAATTCCTCTCTCTGGGATACATCGTCTTGCCCCTGCTGTGTTCTCAACAGACCTGGGCTCAATTCCCAAGACAGTGTGCCACTGTTGAGGCTCTGAGAAATGGTGTGTGTTGCCCAGACCTGTCCCCACTGTCTGGGCCTGGGACTGACCGCTGTGGCTCCTCGTCAGGGCGGGGCAGGTGTGAGGCAGTGACTGCAGACTCACGACCCCACAGCCCCCATTACCCGCATGATGGCAGAGATGATCGGGAGGCTTGGCCCACGAGGTTCTTCAACAGGACATGCCGATGCAATGGCAATTTCTCAGGACACAACTGTGGGACTTGCCGTCCTGGATGGAAAGGAGCTGCCTGTGACCAGAGAGTTCTCATAGGTAAGTGGGGATCTGTGTGTATATACAGTTCTTCATGAGACTCTATGCATTTAATAGGAACCTAAATCAGTTGAGCTGGAAGCACATCTGAAAATCATACAACTCACTCTTCCCTCTTCACAGTTGAGGAAACTGAGGCTCAGAGAGGCTAATAAGTGTATTTAAAGAGTTGAGGTTAAGGCTCAGATCCTCTGACTGACAAGATCTCCTTCCAAAACATTTATGGAGCAACTGCTCCATGCAGGGAACCATGGTAGGTGTTCATGACTAGACCCTTCAGTGACTTCTCAAGGTAGTTATGTTAATTGTAGTAAGTGAGGTTCAGAAAGGTCAAATCCTTACAGCTGGTACTTGAAAAACCTCGAATTTGCCAGTGAGGTCAGTCTAGCTCTAAACCATGATCTACTTCTACTACACTTGCTAACCCACAAAGAAATTTCCCCTTGTGATGATCAAGTTCAGCCATTTCAGGTGACAAGCCTGGCCTTCACTCTACTAAATGGCAATAAATAATAAAGCTTTAAATAGTAAACCCAGCGATACATCGTTGTTTTCTATGTGCCAAGCATTGGGCCAAGGGTCTAACAGAATGTTTATTGAGTCTATTTTATGAGCCACGCTCTGATATAATTGCTTTTTATGTGTGTATTCTTTAACCTTTACGACTCTATGAGGCAGGTATTATTTTTATATACACCCTTTCAGATGAGAAGGTGAGACTTAGAAACACGTGTACAGAGTCACAGAGTAAGTCCCTGGTATTAACCACTATGCCATGTTTTTTACGAGGCTTATGATTTTGAAAAGATAGAAAGTTCCAGAAAAATATACCAATGATGAGCAGAAATAAATACGAGATCACAGAATCATAAAGTCCACAGTCATAATAACGAAAACTAATGAAAACCCTAGAGTAAGTTGGCAGGCAGGGGGCGGGGGAAGGCAGAAAACAGGCCTAAAGAAGAGATTCGGGTGAGGGGAATTTTAAAGGAGTATAAACTTATTTAAGCATATATGCAAATTACATTAATGGGTACATGGGACGCAGTGTTAAGACAATGCTCATGTGGCACATTTTCACGTTTGAATGTTGTATCCTTGAAGTCAGGAGAAATCTTCTGGACTTGAGTGCAGAAGAAAAGAACCACTTTGTCCAGGCCCTGCATCTGGCCAAGCGGACAATGCACCCTCAGTTTGTCATCGCCACCAGGAGATCAGAAGAAATATTGGGGCCAGATGGCAACACGCCACAATTTGAGAACATTTCCATTTACAACTACTTTGTTTGGACACACTACTATTCGGTTAAAAAGACTTTCCTTGGGCCGGGACAGGAAAGCTTTGGAGAAGTGGATTTCTCTCACGAGGGACCGGCTTTTCTCACATGGCACAGGTACCACCTTCTGCAACTGGAGAGAGACATGCAGGTATGTGTGACACGTTGCACTTTTCAGGTCCCCGACAGACAAGGTGGATCGTTTGGAAGCCGTTTTCATCCACTACGCTCTGAGTGATCGAAACATGTGATGGCAAAGCGATTTCATGATATTAATCTGTCTTTGACATTCTAAATTTCTCCCTATTAGTGAATTACTTACTCATTAATTAGTCTTCATCTTTTGTGAAGGGAAAAGAAAGTAATATCAATGGTGAGGGAGCCAGTTGAGACATCTCTAGGTGTGATGTAACGTGATGGACATATGCTGCAGCATAATTGAAAAAATGATCTTCATATAGCTTGCAACAAAAGAATCTCAGTTGATGGGCCGGCCTTCCCAAATGTAAATCGATACCCCCTCCTCCTGGTTTGGATAGAAAAAAAAAAAAAAAATTTGCATACAGTTCTCAGTCGACCAAGTCCCAAATATACACCTTGCTATGCCAGCAAATGATTCTGAGTTTATGGCACAAAATATAAATTATGAAAAACAATATCTTTTATATTGTCATATGTGGATTGAACTCTGTTTTGTTTCCATGCCTCCTACCTCAGAAACCTACTAAAAGTATCACACCATTCAGGTCTCATTTTTACTTAAAAGGCATCAACTTTGGGGGCATATAGTAGACCTCAGCCCAAACATAAGTATTTCCTGCTTATCTTTTAAGCGGAGAACCTCAAACCACATTAAAGTATGTTAACATAGATACTTTTTTATCATTTATTTTACCAATTGCTTTTCTTGAGAAGAGTATTGTAATTTTAAAATGAAATTTGAGGGACGCCTGGATGGCTCAGTTGGTTAAGTGTTTGCCTCTTGGTTTTGGCTTAGGTCATGATCTCAGCGTTCATGAGTTCAAGCCCCACATCAGGCTCTGTGCTGTCAGCACAGAGATTGCTTGAGATTCTCTCTCTCTCACCTCCCCCCCCACACACACACACTTGCTCTCTCTCTCTCTCTCTCTCTCTCACAAAATAAATAAACATTAAAAAATAAAATGAAATTTTAAATTACTAGATCTCAACTAGGAAATCCACAAAATGAACGTGTTTTCTAGGTAAATGGATTCCTTCCCTCAAATTAAAATATAAAAGTTAATCTAAAAATATCTGAGGGTAAAAAAGGTGTTTAGATTCATTTATTGATTTGCAGTATGCTTGTGTCCAGCACTATCACAAGAAAATAAATGGTGAGGCGAGAGAGAATTAATGCACTAAAATACAGAATAAAGCATTGGTATAGAAGTGGTCCATCCATATTCAGTTTGAGAGTGATTAAGTTAATTCATCTGATACTCTGAACTTCATATTTTATAGCTCTTATTACAAGTAAGACATTTAGTAGATTACGAGTAGATAAATCTGTCATTTGTAATCAACTCCAGATCTCCATGCCTCCAAGTCATTTTCTCATGGGCACACCAAAATGAAAGGGCAGGTGGAAAGTATCTAAAAGCTTCGATTTTGCCTGTGTAAACGTCAACCTCTATGCCTTATATTTTTAAAACCCAACAGCACAAGGGATCCAAGGAATTACAGTCTAAATGTAATGCACAGTTGAAATGCCACATGAATATTCTCCAACTCCCAAATGTCAATTCTCAACTACAAACTGACTCTTAATGATCCCTTGGAAGCTGTCACTAATTTTTGTGAACCAGATCAGTGGCTTCTAAACAAGGACTCTAAACCCCTGGAGATCAATAAAGGAGGATGCTTTGGAAAGCTTTTGGTCCTCTAAAATACCCTGGGGACCAGGAAATGCTTCCTAAAGGGTTTAAAGTGAAAAAGCAGAAATGTACTAAATGCTTAGGAGGTGAGGCACAATGATGGCAATCTCTACACTTAAATCTCACTCCCTAAATATAACTCCCCAAAGGTCTAAAGGAATGAGAACAAATACAATAAAAATATGTTTTAAGGAACTCAATAAAACAAGCATGTGATCTTGAGTCCATTACTTTTTCTTTTAAGGTTTTTGTTTGTTTGTTTTGTATTATTTTGTTTTTTGAGAGAGAAAGAGATCTCCACGTTGTCAGCGCAGAGCTGAAGTGGGGCTTGATCTTACGAACCGTGAAATCACGGCCTGAGCCAAGATCAAGAGTAGGACGCTTAAACCACTGAGCCACCTAGGCATCCCCTGAATCCAGTACTTTTAAAATTGTTGAGATCAGCTCTGAAAGGAAACTATGTCCCTGGTCTAAAGAACTGTGTGCACAAAGAAATACTCTGCTTCATTTCACATTTCCCGTTGGTACTAGTTTTTAAGCAGAAACCCAAGTCTTAACAGTTTAGATTCTGAAGCGGGGGTCTTTAAGTAAAACGCCTTCAGTATCCAGGCAGATACGGTGATGTGAAAGAGATTGTCTGTGTAGCCTGTGAAAAGTCGAATCCATATAGCTCATATTTGGAAAACCTGGGATTCACATGGGCTTCTTCCACTACCCTTGCTAACCCACAAATAAATTTTAAAAACCAGAATCTAAATGCCTGAAGTCATTCATGTTAAATGGAAAGAAAGAAAGAAAGAAAGAAAGAAAGAAAGAAAGAAAGAAAGAGAAAGAAAGAAAGAAAGAAAGAAAGAAAGAAAGAAAGAAAGAAAGAAAGAAAGAAAACAAAAAGCACTGCTCTACATAATATATTTAAAGACTGGATCTGGCTCCAGACCAAGACTCCATGATGCTTGAATTAGAGATATGAAAACAGGAGGTAAAATGTCAAGGAGCGAAAGCTATTATTGATATATATATATTTTTTTGGTATCACTAATAGAACTTGAATTACCTACCTGAAAAAAAAAAGGGGGGGGAGGAAGACTTCTTTCCCCAAAAATAGCATTTGTAGAAACTTCTGTATGATGAGTTGAGTTTCATTCTCTCTAGTGCCTCAATAACTCTTCATAGTATGTGATAAGCTTTGTTAAGTGAGATATTTAATTCCTCTGGCTACTCAGACACCACTGATACACTGACTGGTTCTAATTACCAAAAGAGAGTTGATAGAAACAGACAGCCAGGGAGAAAACCAAGCAAAGGGGGAGAATTTTAAACAAAAGCAGAGAACGCTAACAGAGTTTCTTTGATCTAGGAAATGTTGCAGGATCCTTCATTTTCTCTTCCTTACTGGAATTTTGCAACCGGGAAGAACATCTGTGACATTTGCACCGATGACCTCATGGGATCGAGAAGCAACTTTGACCCCACTCTTATAAGCCTGAACTCTGTCTTTTCTCAATGGCAAGTGGTCTGCGAGTCCTTGGAGGATTATGATACCCTGGGAACACTTTGTAATAGTAAGTTCCAAACCCATCTAGGATTCAGAATTCCCTATTACCTAAAGAGATTAAATGTGCTGTCTGAAAGCCCTCATTCTACTAAGGACTTCAGAATAAAATATTTTATTAGAGAGAATCGATGTACAGACGTTCATTGAACACCTACGCTACTCAAGGCACTCTATAAGGTTCCCGGGGGGAACAGAAAGTGTCTATACATTTTTACACTGCTTTTCTTGAGAAATTTGGCCAGTGCCTTGCTCACTCTCTTACTTTGGAAACGTATGGTTATATAAGATTAATCCTCTTAGCACATACAGCACTCCTGAGTAGTCATGTGTCTTGAGTTGAAATTTCAGAGCAAATTGTTTCCCTAGGAAACCTGAAATATGCCGAAAGAGTTTGAAGTGACCTGAGAGTAAAGTTCTAGTCAGAGGGTCAAAAGCAAAAGGTGATATGCAGGGTATCTTTAAGAAAAGGAAGATACCTTATGCAAGATGTCTTCCAGCTAACTGCTTTGCACCTCTGTCAAAGCGAACACAAAAAGGGAATGCTAAACCAGCTGTCCCGGCGTCCTTTCTCCAGTGATGTATAGGCCACTGCTGCCTTAGATCAAGGTTCTGTGATATGTGGATCTGTTCCTGAGTGTGTTGTTCTCTTCCTTGGGTCACATTATTACCTCTCTCTGTGGCACCAACACAAGGTCTTAATTATTAGTCACCTACCCCATCCACTTTTCTTCTTCAGGCATGTTTGGTTATTTTAAACTTGTTCTTCAATGTAAAAACTGGATTCATGGGAATTTATTTTGTTAACGTCTTCAAAATATATTTATTTCCATATATACTTTTCAGCTGAAAATATGAAATTCCTATATCAACCTTAAAAAAAAAAAGAATATCCTTCAAAAAGAATATTCTAAATAGAACAATTCAGTAGATTTTTTTCAGCATTACAAGAATTTTTAGCTGCATATAGGAAAAAGAGAAGTGATAGTGTATGGATTTTTTTTTTTCGGTTGAAGTTTAAAAATTAGAATAAATTTTGTATTTGTTTAGCAAGCTGAGTGAGTGATCCCACCTTGAAATGACGTTGAGAATCAATATATCTTTAGATACGAAAACATTAATCCCTTTCTGAGCAGGCTATTGTATTTTGTCCTAGGAATTTTTTTCCAGACCTTTTCTAACGATACTGGTGACTGGATGCCAAAATATATCACAGTTTAAGTGGGTAAATAAAATTATGGCAGAGGAGAGAAGATTCTATTTTCATCACTTGTTCTTGTCAAGAGGTCTCATAACCAAGACATGTAGTTTCATGAAAAATTGAAGATTGTGTATTTTAGGGAAACACATTTGAGGAATACTTCTTTTCTTAGTTCGTGATATAAACACCAAGAATTTTCTTTATTAGGCCAGTGAAAGATGAAAGGAAACTAACAGTTTATTGAACACGTACTACGTGCCTGATATGGTACCAAATGCTTTCATATATCTTATTTAATTATCCTAATTCCGTTCTTGGATGAAATTATCCATTCCTGTGGTTTCATTGACCATCTTTTACTGGACAGCCATGCACGTACATTTTTAGAACAAACCTTCCTTACATATCCCAATCCTGTATTTTCATGTGTTTGCTGCACAATGCCTCTCCAGCGTCCCATTAAAGCGCCAAACTTGGTACATTGCAAGAATGAGTTATTGACACCTAAGACTCTTCTAGCCACTAAAATATCATCTTGGATTCATCATATGAAGAATGTTGTTCCTTCTACGCAGTATTTCTTAAATCTATTTTCTCCTTCATACACTCAGAACTTTTCATTCATTCCTGCATGGAAACTCCACAGGACTCCAATCCATATGAGGTTAAATCAGGTGCATTGGCAGAGGCTGTCCATGTGCAAACAAATCTAAAAAGACCCAGGTTAAATTTAACGCGTTTAAACTAGTTTCTTTACTATCAGAATTTTCCACTGTGAAACTCCATGAGGGCAGATTAGGGTGTGATGTTTTCAAAACCCATGTAATCTATCGTGTTTTTCTTGGAATGTATTGATAGCTCCTGAACAATAATCCTTAAAACACAAGCTTGGATTGAGAGTTTTAGCCGGTGGAGTCTGAAAGTTTTAATAATAATGCATACCTAAAACAGTGTGCTATCTCCTTCCCAACCTCAAGAGTGGCATATGTTTTATTTTTATATTATATAAAGTTGCTATGCTAATTCATCAGGTACTAATCGTTACGTTAATTATAAACATTACAACATAGTAAGCTTTATGAATGAGGTAAAATGAATACAAATTGAGATTGTAATATCACCTCTCCCACCCCAGTGGATTATTCTGCATATCCTCTTAGGACACACACATGCTTCTCTCGAGATCATTGGAACAGAAAACCCAAAATATTCCTAACCGATCTCCTCTTTTCCCACCTACCTAAGACTTCTCTTCATTTCCTATTGAATTAAACATAATTTCTCCACAATATGAATCTGGTCTAGCTTTACATTGTTCCCACCGTCCCTTATCCTCTTGCATTGTCCTGTACTCCAGGCAAGCTATTCCCCAACCAGCCCTCTTTGCAGCCCAAACGGTCTTTCCATATATCAACATACACCAGACAACTATTTAGCATCTACTATTTGCCAGGCCCTGTACCAAGATTAAGGGATATACTGGTGAGCGAGAATAGAAAAAGTTCTTGTTCTGAGGGAGCTTATCTCATAGATAGGAGAAGGCATATCATCGTTCTTATTACCTCTGTCGAAAATGTTTGACTTGTAACATTTCCCCTATTTACCCTGAAAATTCTTCTCAGAGAATCAGGGTTCTTTGCAATCTCTCTCTCTCTCTCTCTCCTCTCTCTCTCTCACATTCATTTGTTTTTGAGAGACAGAGCACAAGTGGTGGGGGGCGGGGCACAAAGAGAGAGGGAGACACAGAATCAGAAGCAGGTTCCAGGCTCTGAGCTGTCAGCACAGAACCCAATGCAGAGCTTGAACCCATGAACCATGAGATGATGACCTAAACCGAAGTCAGTTGCTTAACCAATTGAGCCACCAAGGCGCTCCTGCAAATCTCTTTTCTTCAATGACATCTTTCTGAAACCACACACCTGGAAAGGATTGATATTCTTTCTCAATCTCTGTCTTTCTGTCTCTCCCCTTCTCCTTTCCACTCTCCCTCTTCCTCTTTCTCTCCTTCCCTCCCTTCCTTCTTCCTTCTCTCCCTCCCTCCCTCAAGGCACCCATTCTATTATCCCTAGTATCACAGCTCTTTGCTTGCCTGTTTGTCTTAGTGCCTTTTAACAAGTGCCTTTTAACAAGTTTAATTATTTCTCACATTAATTGCTGAAAAAATATGTATGGATTGAAATATAGACCAGTTCCCAAAGAAATTGTAGATTGTTTTTCTTTATTTCTCTGAAGGCTTGAAACAAACAGTAATTGAATATGAAATTTCACACGTGTGAAATATAGATTTAGTGTGGGAGTTAGGTTTATGAGACTATTTTGGCAAAATTCAATTTCCCATGGACTTTTGATGTTAATATATTTTCAGTAATAAATTTTCAGTAATCAGTATACGTTGATTAAACAAATAACAGGACCTCCATCTGTTATTGTGATCATTTTTTTCTTCCAATGATTTTATGTATCACACATCTAACTCTGTTCACAGACATATCACAATGATATGAATGTGATAACTTAAATCTTCTCACTGTAATGCCCCTAAGTCTGCCTTTTGAAAATGTTCTCTTCTACCAGGGAGAACCTAGCTTTCAGTGATCATGCTCTACATAAAAATGGAAGAGCAAAGAGATCTGTAAATATTCTGTAAGTGTTCCTATACCCTGTATTTTTTTCCAGGCACTGAGGGGGGGCCAATTAGGAGAAATCCAGCTGGAAATGTGGCGAGGCCAATGGTACAACGTCTTCCTGAACCACAGGATGTCGCCCAGTGTTTGGAAGTTGGTTTATTTGACACCCCTCCTTTTTATTCCAATTCTACAAACAGTTTCCGAAATACAGTAGAAGGTAAGTAAAAGAAGTCAGTGCTTTGATTTTATCTAGTTGTCACAGTAAACTGAACTATTCACATTCAGGTCTCCTTGAAACATCTTTGGAAGCCATATTGATCTTATGAATTTATAGGAATGTTGCCTCCTATGATGATGTAGTCACAATTCCCTGCTCAAAAAAGAACTTCTTAAAGAAAAGTGTCAGGCCATGCAACTCTTTTAAATTATCATAGTAGAATCCTTGGGAAATTAGTCTTCAATCTCTAAAATACCTGAAAAGTATTAACTCAAATCTGTGAGGTGGCTAATCATTATAACTCTATCAAATTCTGGTAGAGGCAAATAATTTTCAAGACTTTGAGAGCCTAATTTTTTTTTCTTAAAAAATACCAATAAAGTTTCTAAACAATTAGTTGACATCCAATAATGCCTGGCTGGGCCATATATTTCATTTAGGTTTGTATTATCCTATGAATGTTTTTAAGGACTATAAAAATTCAAACTACTATCTAATGATATTTAATGTGATCCTCCTCATTTCATTCAAAGTATTTTAAAGGTGAGGAAACTAAAGACCAAAGAAGTGAAATGAATTTCCCAAGATAGTTTGTAACAGAACACAATTTCAAATCAAAATTTTTTAAGTCCATTGTCTTTATACAACACATTTTAATATCTCTAAATCATCACCGATACATATTTAAAGTTTTGAAACAACAGAATCACATTTAACATAAACTTCTTATTGTCACAATGTACATTAAATATAGCATTAAACATGTTAGGCTCCTCCCCCTGAGGAAAAAAAAAATAGGAACAGATCTCTCTGTCTCCATGATCTGAGATACTTGACATAGAAATCTAATCATTATTTTCCTTTCTCTCCCCTATTATCATCAAAACTGGATGCCATTCTATTCTGTCTTTATGTTAATATTAATAACTAAATATGAATGCACTGATTTGGAGATTATTCAATAAATAATCACTATGTTTTGACTAAACTGGTGTATATAAACTAAGGCCATAACCATTATATCCTTTTTTTTAATTTACTTTTTAAATTTCAAGTTAGTTAACACATAATGCAGTTTTGGCTTCAGTAGGACACAGTGATTCATCACTTCCATATAATACCCAGTGCTCACCCCAACAAGTGCCCTCCTTAATGCCCATCACCAATTTGGCACAGGCGCCCCCCCCCCCACCTCCCCTCCAGCAACCCTCAGTTTGTTCTCTGAATTTAAGAGTCTCTTATGATTTGCCTCCCTCTCTGTTTTTATCTTATTTTTCCTTCCCTTCCCCTATGTTCTTCTGTTGTGTTTCTTATTAAATTCCACATATGAGTGAAGTCATATGATATTTGTCTTTCTCTGACTGATTTATTTCGCTCAGCATAATACATCTAGTTCCATCCGCGTTGTTGCAAATGGCAAGAGTTCATTCTTTTTGATCACTGTGTAATATTCCAGTGTGTGTGTGTGTATGTGTGTGTGTATATGTGTGCACACATACACATATATATATACCACATCTTCTTTATACATTCATCAGTCAATGGACGTTTGGGCTCTTTCCATAATCTGGCTATTGGCCATAAGCACTAATTTCTACAAGAATATGTAGGTTGCATCTTAATGATGACCAATCAAAGGACAAATTATACTGATTTCCTGACAGAAGGTCTGAAAGGACCAGTGCCAACCAACATGCCGTGTACGTTGCAGTCTTTAAACATTTCGTAAATAAAAAAAATAATAATGGAATAAATGTATACAAAATGACTAAATAAATGAGTGTAATTGTACAAATGGGTTAATATATTTTATCATCTTTAAAAAACAAAAAAACAAAACAAACAAACAAACAAACAAAAAAAAAAAACACAGCTCCACACCCAGTGTGGAGCTCAATGCAGGGCTTAAACTCACGATCCTGAGATCAAGACCTGAGCTGAGATCAAGAGTCAGACACTCAGCTGATTGACCCAGGCACCCTTGGGTTAATGTGTTTTAAATTCTAATTTTATTTAATAATATGTAATATTTCCCTGTTCTTCCACCTCTGATTCTTAAAGCCAACCAGGTACACTTATAACTCCATCCTGCATCACAGACCCTCCGTTTTTGTGATCTATCCTTACCTTCTGCCTAATATATATACCTAATAAATATCATTTGGAAATATATATGGGAAATATATACAATATATAATATGGGAGACATACAGTATAAGAAATACATAATACATGAAATGTAGGAAATATACATATTATATAGGGATATCATATACATCATATAGAATATGGGAAATAGAGGATACATAGGAAATTATTAAATATTATATAAATGTTTTGACAATAGGCTTTCCAGATGTTCAAAACTAGTACAGACATGATAAGCATGCTCTGGGAAATTGTGACTTTTCCACAAACATAAGATAACTTTCCCGAAATAAACATGGTGACAGTGAAAAGGAATGAGGTAGGAAACTGAAGTAATATCTGGCAATTTAAGGTCCAGGACAATCAGAGTGATGTCCTCCCAACTGTGTTAGTTTTTAGGAGAAGGAGATTTCCACTGTCTTTATTTCCACTGAACCAATGTTTGCCTTGTCAAAATAGAGTGCTCTATATACTTTGGCTGGCATCTTTGCAGGTCATTATTTTTAACCTTGAGGCTACATTTAGAATGTCGTGCCACTGGCTTAAAGCTAACCTAGCTCTGGGTATAGCAAGAAATGTCACCAACCATAGGTACGGAGAAGCAATGCTATTATATCAGGGCAAAAATTGGCCTGACAAACTGCGGAGAAACTGTTTCCCGATATAATCGCTGCTGGTGATTTGAAAAGCAAGATATTGGCAATGGTTTTCATTCTTCTCACCCCTCTTTTTATATCTAGGTTACAGCGATCCCACAGGAAAGTATGACCCTGCTATTCGAAGCCTTCACAATTTGGCTCATCTATTCCTGAATGGAACAGGGGGACAAACCCATTTATCTCCAAACGATCCTATTTTTGTCCTCCTGCACACTTTCACTGACGCGGTCTTTGATGAATGGCTGAGGAGATATAATGCTGGTGAGACATTCTCCTATGCTTTTTTGCGGGCTCAGCAAGGAGACCGTTCAGGTGGTATGGTGATCACTATACACTACGCACTTAACACATGTGAACTACACTTCAAAATAAGGAGAAAAGAGCTGTGATATCTAGCTGTTTCCACATGTCCCAAACGACTTTGAAAATGCAGATAAAAAGTTATAAAAATAGTTACGAGACAGTATTATATTATTATCAGAGTAAGCACGTAATCCCTTCTCATTTTTTAGTTTGAAAAGATGACTGTCATGTTTCCCAAATTTTTCTTCCTTGTAGCTTCCAATGAACATTTGCATGTCTTTTTCTGTCTTTTTTTTTTTTTTTTTTTTTTGGAACATTCTCGTGAATAAAAAAAAATTTCACTGATCTCTTCTTCGATACCTAAAAGACAGAAAAAATTATGCTCATAATCCACAGTTTTGATTTTTATTACTGCTGGCCTCTTACAAATGGAAATTCTCTTCAACTTGAAAAGTTAGTGTTGGTTTTTATAGAGAGCACAGCATAGAAAATCTTTTTCAACTTCATTTTAATGGGTTTTTAAAAATATTATTTAGAAGGCCACTTTCTCTTCACTTCTACTCGGCTGAGAGGCTCAAGTCACTTTGCAAACAATGAAGTACTTCTATTTGTTAAAGCATCATACATGTTCATACTTCAAAAGTTTGTAAATTTTGGCTTCTGTGCCTTTACTTTATCCCGCACATAAACATAATATTGGGTATCTATTGACTTATCTACCCAATTCAGCCAGTCTCTTATTTCTTGGTGTGTATGTACAGGAGAAGCCTCTAATCCAACCTGATTACGACCATTCACAGATACGTTGGTCAAAATCATATGTTCCATCAGAAAATCATTCAAGAAACAAATAACTCACATATAACTATTCACTCATCCATCTGCTATGAATTCACTAATTGGAGTGCCACCTTATTTCATATGTATTCACAAGCATACCTACAGTCATAATGAATTATCTACAATTTACAATGTCTGTTTCTTTAACGAGAAACAAGAAATTAACAACCCTTGAGATGCAATCTGAGTCCAGTATGCGTCTAGATTTTCATAATGACTACCTTATGTTTACAATCCGATCGCTCACTTCTAATTCTTTACCAATATCTCAGGCATTCTCCTTTAGCCAACCTTTCTTAGACATTCGTACATTTAACATAAAACAACATCCCTCTCCTTTAGAAATCATAATTATCGTTTTGCATATGTTTAGCTATATTACTTCTTATGACAATAGCAAGTCAAGTGGAGGTCATAGGTTTAGGAATGAACAAAAACTTGTTAAACACGCACTTCTCAGAACTAGGCAACAATGCACAAGCTGTAGTTATTCAGACATTCACAAGGCCATGGCTGTTAGTAAGTTGTTCTTACTTAGGACTTAAGAAGTAAAAGGAGGTGGAGAATCTTGGGTAATCTGGAGCTTTCTTTCAACTATGCAAACAAGTATTCCTTTGCCTTACATATCCTGATTGAAAAGATCATTATTTGACATCTATAACAAGTTGTTAAAGGTCATCGATGAATCAGATAAATACCTTTGTTATTTTCTCCCCACTTCCTTTGCTTGTACTATATAAATTGCATAATAGCTCTCAGTTACTTGGATAGTAGTAGAGGGAAAAGTACCATGAGCAAAAAGTAGGGAGCCTAAAGCATATTTTTGACAAAATGTGGCCATAAAAATATAAGACAAGTTAATGTAAACACTTACAAATTGCAGGAACACTGAACACTAACGATTAACCTTCTGCTTAAATATTCCATGTCCCTGCAAATGTCCCTTGGAAAAACAATGTCATAGAACGACGACATAGGAAGAAAATAAAAAGATTAGAAAAATGTCTAAAATGATGCATACAGCAGAAGTCTTTGTTCCAAATAAGTCTATGAGTGGAGGATGGAATTAGTTTTCAAAATGTATTGAAAGGTTTTATAATAAGGAAGTATCTTCAAAAATCATAGGATTATAAAATTATTAGGGTCCGAATGGAATAAGAATTGCATTTTACAGCTGAAGGAAATGAGAGTCATCGCATATAATGTGATGTCTCGTTAGACGTGAGGTGGTGTAATATAGAGCACGCAAACTTTATTCAATATGATGTTAAGTTTTATTCACTAACATTTTGTATCCATGTGCACATTTAATTCAATTTTCTATTTTTCCCAAATGCGAGTCATGTGAATGAAGTTTTATATATAGCACTAAATATAGTGAGCTTTACAGAAGAAGCAGTGTATACGTTTCGCAGACCAGACCCTACTTATCCTGCCCTGAGAGAAATGAACTAATTACGCACACACTCAAAGCCTTTCACAAACAGTATCTGATTCCATATCTTTGCTCTTATGGATAATGCTGCAGTGAACATGGGTGCAAATATCTCTTCGAGATACTGATTTCATGTCTTTTAGAGATATACCCAGAAGTGGGATTGCTGGATCATATGGTAGTTCTATTTTTTAATTTTTTGAGGAACATCCGTACTGTTTCCATACTGGCTGCACCAATTCCCACCAACAGGGCACAACAGCTCTCTTCTCTCCACGCTTTTCCCAACGCTTGTAATCTCTTTTCTTTTTGACCACAGCCATCCTTACAGGTGTGAGGTAATCTCTCAGGATGGTTCTAATTGGCATTTCCTAATTAGTGATATTGAATACCTTTTCACGGACCAGGTGGCCATTTGTAAATCATCATGTCATATACCTTAAATACATAAAATTTTTGTCAATTGTACCTCAGTAAAGCTGGAAAATAATACTATTTGAGTGCCTACCATTTCCTACATAGTATTTTAGGTACCGGAAATACAGTAGCGTACAAAACACACAAAAATATTTTCCCTCCTGGAACTCCCCTAGTTGTTGGTTGAAATGGCAGGAAAAATAAGTAAATAAATATAAAGTATGTTAGATGGGAGAAAGTGTTTGCAAGCTAAGAAAATCAGGAAAGGGGATGGTGAATACTACATAAATACATGGAGGAAAATCGTCCTGGGATGAACAAAGGAACCCACTGTGGCCAGAGCAGAGCAGAGAGTGGGGAGAAAATGGTGGGAAATAACAAGTCAGAGAGGTAACAGGGGCAAGATCCTGAAGGCTGTTGGCTATAACACTGAGTTGGGAAGGGTCTTGCATAGGGAAGTTTCATGACGATTCTACTGTTCTTGTTTGCTATTTTCACAATTATTCCTCCATTCAGTTGAATCGATGTAACTTTATCACCACGCTGATGCTGAATGGGATTGAGGCTGTTCGAGTCAGGCTGTAGTGGAAAGGTGAAATAGAAAGTTAAAAAAAAAAAAAGTTTATCTACATTATTAACTTTAATAAATAATTAACGAGAATACACCAAAACGTGGATTCCTTGGGCCAGGCGTTCTGTCTGTTCTGTGCAGTGCTGTAGCCTCCATGCCGAGACCAGTGTCTTACGTTAGTAAGAGCTCAACAGATTTGAAGCAATAAATATTAAATTAGCATGAATACATAGTAAATCTAAAGTCGCAAAAATACAAACACTACATGCCATGCTATGATCAGTTGTTTTACAAAGTAGACGCTAAAATACTTTTCTGTGCTTCCCAGGATCACAGGGACTGTCCAGGTGATATATTTCTTGCAAACAGAAAATGTAATACTCCACTAACTTTCTCACATATTCTAGCTCTTCTACATAGTTGTCCACTTGTGTCCAGCCCAAGCCCGATTCCAACTCTGGTTTTGTGATATCCCACCTCATTTAGTTGTATCAACATAAATGTAGAACAACAATAATAGAAAAGAACAATCTTGGGTTGTCGGTTGAGCATCCGACTGCGGCTCAGGTCATGATCTCACAGTCCATGAGTTCCAGCCCCGCCTCTGGCTCTGTGCTGACAGCTCAGAGCCTGGAGCCTGCTTCGGGTGATGTGTCTCCCTCTCTCTCTCTCACCCTCCCTGCTTATGCTCTGTCTCTGTCAAAAATGAATAAACATTTTTAAAAAATTAAAAAAAAAAACAATCTTCTGCCACAAAGAACCTATCACTCTTTTTATCCCTGATGACAGAAACTCACTAATAATATAAATGCCTGTAACTTGTATTTAAGTTGAAAGAGGAGAAGTGGCAGGAAGGAAATAATATCCCAGGAACTTGATTTAAAAATTTAAGTGTTTTTTCTAACAGAGTAAAATATAGGGGATAAGTTCATATTTATATCTCGGGAAGTAAACAGAAAAAAAATGAAGAATACTAAACAGAAATATTCATATTCAAGGACAAACCTCCATTAGATATGGCACCTCTCAAATTTATAGATGAAGCTTCAGCAAACTACATGTCCATCTTTTTTTTAGCCTTGAAAGAGAAGTTTAGTGAATTTTTTTCAAATAAGTTTCTGTAATTTAAAAGTAAAACAACTAATGAGCAACATAGATGATAAAATACTAAAACTTCCCTGCTTTTAAACGTTCTTGATCTATTGGATGTTATGTTCAAAACATTTGAACTCTGTTTTATGCAATATTCCCTGTTCTGCTATATACAGTAAAACTATTTTTATGTCTTTATCCAGTAAAAAATTAAAAAAAAAACATTTTTATGTTATCCTAGAATATTTTAGGTCACCTTCAGGACATAATAATCTATTAATACTAACTTTATTATGTTATTAACAAGATGTCTTTGGCATATTTTAGATGTATCCACATTTCCATTGGAAAATGCCCCAATTGGACATAATAGGCAATACAATATGGTACCATTCTGGCCTCCAGTTACCAACATAGAAATGTTTGTTACTGCTCCAGACAATCTGGGATATACTTATGAAGTTCAATGGCCAAGTGAGTATTGAAAATGTATCTTTTCTGTGGAAATTACCAAAACTACATTTGCTACCTCTCAAGGTAATCACAGTATTCTGAGGCCTATATTTTCCACTCAGATTTAGAAGGTTTTATTTGGATTTTTATTTTGGGATAAAGAGATTGAATGTAACATTTGTTGAGAGCCCACTCTGATCTGGAATTAAGCTGATTCTATAGCATACTATCTCATTGAATCCATACAACCCTCTGAGCTAAGTGTTGTAATCCTCATTTTACAAATAAGGAAGATGAGGCTAGCTATGATCAGCTGAGAAAGGGTAATTGTCACAGGTCATATTTCTAGTAGGCAGAGATAATGAGTTACGAGCTTAAGTTCATGTAATACGTCCCAATTTTTCTACTACATAATGGTGCCTTCGTATCTTTATTCTAAAAAGAAAAAATGGAGTGAGATACTCTGTGCTGCTTTTTCTGAGATTTTGAAATTCAAACATTCTTATTTTCTTTTCAATCCCTTCCCAACAAAGGCAGCAGGGTATAGTGAAGAGCACAGCATGTGGGTTTTGAAAGACTTGGGCCCCTAAACCAACTCTGGCACCTACTGGCCAAGTGACCTTGGACAAGTGGCTCAAACTCTATGGCATCATTTTCTCACCTTTAGAACAGAAATAATAATAGCTATCCCAATAGGGTCCACTTAGTAGGAGAAATTTGGTAAGTGCCTTCAACATGACAGGTGTTATCATCAGCAATGTGGACAATAAAAAAGTTCTATATAGGGGCACCTGGGTGGCTTAGTTGGTTAAGCGTCTAATTCTTGATTTCAGCTCAGGTCATGATCTCAGGAACTGAGAGATTGAGCCCTGCAGGCTCTGTGCTGACAGCACAGAGCCTGCTTGGGATTCTCTCTCTCTCTCTCTCTCTCTCTCTCTCTCTCTCTCTCTCAAAATAAATAAATAAATAAACTTAAAAAATTACATATGAAGATTTCGGTAAAATGCCTGCCACAATGCCTAAGTTTAGGGTAGCTGGTTTTTGGTGGCAACTATTATACTGTTTATTTTTTGTTCTCCTTTTGTTTTTCACAGGTCGGAATTTTAGTATTTCTGAACTTGTTACTATAGGAGTAGTTGCTGCTTTATCCCTGGTCGCGGTCATTTTTGCGGGTGCTTCTTGTATGATTCGTGCCAGAAGCAACATGGATGAAGCACATCAGCCTCTTCTCACTGATCAATATCAACACTATGCTGAAGAATATGAAAAAATGCACAATCCTAATCAGTCTATGGTCTAATGACAAATGACCAATTCTCTGATACATTAGCATCACAAGAACACCTGGTTGAAACATAACAGATGAAATTACTTTATGTTCTTTTCCTCCATTACTTTCTTTCTTATGCACGCCCATGTTGGAATTAGAGCTCTACATATTATTTGCTAGAGCACAGAGAGTCACAGTCTTTTTAATACATTCTTTTTTCCAACTCTATTTCAAATGGTAGGTTGTATGTTAACAAACTAGAATTTAAATAAAAACTTGAAACATTAAAAAAATAAAAAAATAAAATAAAACAAAACAAAACAAAACAAAATAAAATGGTAGGTTGCAGGCATATACCCCTGTCCTCTAGCCCTAATTCCCAACCCTAACCCTAACCCTCTGGAGAGGTCTCTGAACTGCAAAATACCAGACACATATACTAACCCTAACCCTGAATCTGAGAATGTGGCTTACTGAACACATGATAAGAAACGCTGAGAAACAGCCTAGTTACCCTGGAGAAGACTCCAAATACTTAAGAATTGGTGGGATTTCTGGAAATTGGTGTTGAAGGTAGAGATTTAAAAAAAGAGTGAAGGAAAATAAAATGGTAGTTTGCACCAACTCTATGATATTTAAGCAGAGAATGTGAAGATTTGGGCGTGTTTTAAAGACCAACTATATGACAATGTAAATAAGCTGTTGTGCTTTGTTTATGTATAAAGAAAAATCATAATAGTAAATCTCTGATTAAAATACATCAGTAGGCATCTCTACAATGTGAAAATGCAAACACATTTCCGTTCACTGACATCGAACAATGGATATATAGGAAGCCACATTTATTAATTAAAATCCATTATGTGGAGCTACAAATGGGATCCCAATTGTTTTTCAGACTAAAATTCCCCTTGGGCACCAAAGTTTAGTTTAGTTTAAGGTTTAGTCTGAGGTTCAACGTCGCAAAAAAATCCTGATCTTTGTCACACTCCATAGAGGTAAAGACGTCACTTTGTTTAAAAAACAGTTGATACTCTATTTGCCACCATGTTCTACCTGTCAATGGACTGGAAGCCAACAACCCATTCATACATTTCATGTCCCCATTCCTCTTCCAATATCTTAGTGACCCAAAGCAAGGCATAAAGTGGAGAATACGCAATACCGTGCTCTACAAACACCATTCAATTCATTGTGTTTCAAGTAGCCTTCTCGTATCACTTATCGGTCTTTCATATGTTTTGAAAATAAAATAATAATAATATTATGTCATCAGTTGTGTGAGGCTTTCATGATGCAGTTGTGTGAGGCTGTCATTAATTTTTCTTCTGCCTATCTTGTAACCTAAAATATTTTTACTGTTTTTGATCTTGGGTTACTAAAATAATATTCTCAATGAAGAACTTGAAAGGCTGGTCACTGGGAACAAACATTTTTGGCAAAATCGGTGAAAAAAAATATGAACAATAGTAATTATACACTATAGAAAGTGGGGAGTCTGATATTCCCAACTCAAAAAATAAGATTAAAGTTATGTACACAATTGGTTATGGGTTTCCCCATATTAATCAATCTTAAGGCTATGAACACAAGAAAAACAGACAAAATGTGTTAGTAAAAGAGAATGCATATAATAATAGTATCTTTTTAACTTTCAAATACCATTCCTGAATTGATTTTTTACTACATTTCATTAAAATATTATATACTCGGGGCGCCTGGGTGGCTCAGTCAGTTGGGCGTCTGACTTCGGCTCAGGTCATGATCTCACGGTTTGTGGGTTCGAGCCCCGCATCGGGCTCTGTGCTGACAGCTCAGAGCCTGGAGCCTGTTTCGGATTCTGTGTCTCCCTCTCTCTCTGACCCTCCCCCGTTCATGCTCTGTCTCTCTCTGTCCCAAAAATAAATAAACATTAAAAAAAATTTTTTTAAATAAATAAAATATTATATACTCATTGCTTTTCAGATATATTATTATATAATGTAAGATTGATTTAAACATTAATAAAACTAAGTCTGCCACATCATATTTTGGGAGATTTACTAAGTACTCATTGCATAAATGTTTATTTCTTTACTGATATTTATTTATTTATTTTTATTTGAGATCGTGTATAAGTGGGGCAGAGGGAGAGAGAAACACAGAGAGAGAGATTCTTGAGCAGGCTGCACGCTCAGCATGGAGCCTAATACTGGGTTTGGCCCTATGACCCCGGGATCATGATCTGAGCTGAAATCAAGAGTAGGACGCTCAACCAATTGAGCCACCCAGTTGCTCCTTGTAAACATTTACTAAGCACACCTAGATTTCAGACATACTCCAAAACTGTGGAATTGGGGAAGGGAAGGGAAGGAATAGAAAACTGAGATGGTCATTTTTGACTTGGCCTGCAAAGAATGCTAATGGATTTACCAAACACAAGAGTAGAGAAGGGCACTCCATACAGAAATGACAGCAGGGACAAAGTAGCAGAAGTTTAAGTGACATGGAACATTCAAAAACATAAAGTAGGTCAGTGTGGTTAGAGCATAGAGCAATATGGATGCTACATCACCTTTTTATGGAGAGGAGTAGAAAGATAAATCAGGAATAAAATCAGAGTGTCCTATATGCAATCCTAAGAAATCTGGAGTTCATTCTACAGGTAAGAGGGAGCAGGAAAGACAATAAAGTATGTTTTACAAAGATAATAATGATGATGTTTGTAAATAATGTCTATTAAGAATAATTTGGAATGGTTAAAATAGAAGCTAAGAGACTAGCTAATATCAAATAGTTCATGGGACAGAGGAGGAAAAAACTTAATTATAAGAGAACCCATTATATTATAAATGTATCTTTCATTATTTCTCCCTAAACATGTTGCTTTATTTTTCTTGTACTCAAGGACTTCTGTTTAGTTTGTGTGTGTGTGTGTGTGTGTATACATATATATATGTGTGTGTGTGTGTGTGTATACATATATATACACATAGATATATATGTATACAATAAATATATGTATATTTTATATACATAGTTATGTATATGTATATATATTTTAGTTTAGTATATATGTATATATATGTATATGTATATATATATATGTGTGTGTGTGTGTGTGTATATATATATGTGTGTGTGTGTGTGTGTGTGTGTGTGTGTGTATCTTGATCAGGTGACCATTACTCTTCCTGTAATATATCATATTATTCACTTCAAATAATAGTCATTTGCAATCTTGGATATTTTCTACTGTTCTCAGTCCTTCATTTCCCTTATAAAACGTAGTCAATGAAGTTATTATGCCCTTACTGGAAAGCATATTTCACACCACTTAAACAGATTCTGTCTTGGTGCAGAGACTCCCATTATATACCAGTGCCACCAACTGAGCTAAGCATTATAGTCTCAACAGAGTAAGAATGCCCAATTGAACATTCCTATACAATCAAAAATGTAAAGCTATTGTTTTTGTGCCCCTCTGAAGTTACATACTGTCTTCATCCCCAGACGCAAATTTCAGACACAGTGCCTACTGACAGCTACGTGTAATCTTTAAAATTGGATGCAGGGGAAAAGACTTGGACTTTTAAAATATCTGTTTCAACATTAGGTTATAAGACAGTTGTGCTAAGTTCAGCCCATGAGTACACAGCTATGTTATGTATTTTGTCCTTAGCCTAGTCAAAATTTTTATTAACCAACCAACCGATGGAACATCATGTTGGGCTGAGAGAGCTAATATGAAATAGAAAAAGAACAACAACAAAAAATAAATATATTAACAAACCAAGAACAGGACCTGATATAAAAGAGATACAATTTTAATAGGAAAAGTGCAAAATCCAGTACTTCTAAAGCACAAGTGCAAAATTAAAGGATGAAGGAAGACAGGAACTGTCAGTATTCTTTACAAAATAACCAGGAGCTTTTAGTGTATTTCAAATTCAATAGAAAACATATTCAAATTCAATATTTAGGGCAATGAGACCAAAATAGAGACAAAATGCTATGCTATGAAAGTGGGGGGAAGTAGTGTGCAGATATTGATATATTGTACTTCATTAATACAGAAACAGAAATCTGTAGTGTTAAGAATCACATCTGGAGTATTTATTTAACTTTAGAGCAACTGTTTAAGGGAAACATTGACACACTGTTGCTTATTCATCTTCCATGTGATACAATGATACAATTACAGGCCTAAGAGAGAAACTTTGAAGTCACGCTTAAATTCTACCATCTATCTCAATCTTCATATCCAATTAATTACTAATTTTGTTAATACAGTCAATATGCATTGACCACCGTATCCTGAGCACTAAACCCATGATCTACAGTAGTGGTTCTCAATTGGAAGGCTATTTACCCCCAGGAGTTCTTTGGGGCTGGGATTGCTACTGGTATCTATTGGGTCAACCCAAGGGTGCTGCAAAACATCATACATTGCCAACACGTTGAAAAATTAATCAATCCCAATGTCAGTAGTGCTGAGGTCAAGAAAATGTGATCTAGAACTACAAGGATAAACAAGTTTCACAGTGTCCCTGACTTCGTAGAGCTTAGTACTTGATGGGAAAGAAGGACAAAACCAATGTACTTTGTTAGGAATACATTATTTCCTCACAAAATAAATTTAAAAGATACAGAGTTCAAGGTAGTTAAGCACAATGGTACTTTCAAGGACTCAAGCTCTTTCTATCTTTTTCCCATTACATTTGGTATGTGGTCTCCATCATTTTATTTATACTGTTGGGGCTGCAATATGGATGTTGCATCACCAGGTTTTGTATCTACTCCACACAGAAATTTTCCATTTGTTCAAAAGTGGATATCCACCCAAGAATTATGCCTATATCTCATTAGAAGTTTATTACATGGAAAGGGAGTATAGAAAATTAATGGTCTTTTTGTTTTTAAAGTTTATTTATTTATTTTGAGAGAGAATGGATGTGTGAAGGAGAGGAGAGAGAGAGAGAGGGCGAGAAAACCCCAAGCAGGCTCTGCATTGTCAGTGCAGGGTTCCAACTCATGAACCTTGAGATTATAACCTGAGCCAAAATCAAGAGTTGGACACTCAACCAACTGAGCCATCTAGAAACTCCTCTTTTTTTTTTGGGGGGGGGGGTTGTTTGTTTGTTTTTGTTGTTGTTGTTAGCTGGTTACTATCCTGAATAAAGTCAGAATTCTAATAGTAAGGGATGAGAGAGAATATATTTGGGATCGTGGCAACTTGGAGTATTGCCACAAAAAATAAACAAGCAAAAAATCAAGACAATAATTATAGCAGTATGAAAGAAACACACAGTGTGTTTTCCTTATAAAAACAAAACAAAACAAAAACAAACAAACAAACAAAAACCTCCAGTGGAAGCTATTTAATTTAAACAAATGAATTGGAAGATTAGCTGAATAAGTGAAGTCGGGCTGAATGATAGGACAAGAACGCTGCTGGAAAAGTTAACCAAACAGGGCTAGGATAAAAGCCATGTCCTCATTATCCACGGTGGAATGTCAAAACATGTTCCTCTAATATTTTTTAAAAATTAGAAATAGAAACTTTAATATACTATTTAGAAATATGGAAGCAAAAACAGAAGCAGCAACTTAAGATGCAAATTATTATACCCAGGAAGAGTGAGTTGCGTGGGGCATGGATTGGGGCAGCAGAGCACCTTTGTGGTTCTTCGTGAATCTTGACTTTTTGAAAGGAGGTTTTTAATTTGTTCATTTTTTTTTTAATTTTTTTTTCAACGTTTATTTATTTTTTGGGACAGAGAGAGACAGAGCATGAACAGGGGAGGGGCAGAGAGAGAGGGAGACACATAATCGGAAACAGGCTCCAGGCTCCGAGCCATCAGCCCAGAGCCCGACGCGGGGCTCGAACTCACGGACCGCGAGATCGTGACCTGGCTGAAGTCGGACGCTTAACCGACTGCGCCACCCAGGCGCCCCCATTTTTGTTTTTTAAGAGAGAGAGAGAGCATGTGAGTGGCACAGAAGGGCAGAGGGAGAGAGAGAATAAAATTTAAGCAGTTTCTACACTCAGCACGGAGCCCGACACAGGGCTCGACCCCACCACCCTAGGATAATGAAATCAAGAGTTTGTCGCTTGACTGACTGAGCCACCCAGGTGCTCAGTGAAGGGCAAAAAGAAGAGAGTGATTCTTCTGGAAATCTCAGTAAAGAATGACTGAGTCAAAATTGACATCATTCAGCAAAACTTTATTCTTAAAGTTTTTTTCCTCTACGAAATAGGAAATTTTAGAACTTTAACTTTGGGGAG